TTTCTTACTTCCCCTTAGATAACCACCTTGTAAACCCATATTTTAATTTTAATTTTATTTCATTTACTTTTTAACATTTTTTTGGATTACCAATTTGGACTTAACCAACACCGACCCGAATCGCTAATTAGCAATCCACCCACTATCCCGCTTGAAACATTTGGCTAATAACCGCCAAGTTTCAAGAACTTCAATAGCTCAGTGAAATGTTTTCTCTAAAGGAAAATATTTATATAAGATATAGGACTCCTTAAAGTCTAAGTATTCACTGGATTATCGCGAAAATAACCCGAATCCCAAAGGAAAGGAGATTAGGGTGGCAATCTAGTGAGGTTGACCCAATTGTGGATCCGACCTAGATTTGGCTTTAGATTTGAATATTAGACCTGACAGTTCTGTGTCTAGGTCTATTATCCTACTTGGGTCCATCCAAGTCTCTCTTTCCACACACAGCATGTATACATATTTAGACCAGACCTAACTCTTCTGGATCCAAATGGGACCCAGTTAGATCAAGTTTAAATTGAAATTGGCCCAAACTCAACCCAACCTGAGCCGACCCGATCCGACCTATTTGTACTCTTCCCACGCTAAGATTTTATACAACCTTGGTTAAGATATCCAATAATTAACTATTACTCTTGCATAGCATCATTTCGTCAAGGGGATCCTCTCTCCGTTTTTTTTTAGAATCTATACTTAATGTTTCAGTTTGATGTTAAGCAGGGTGGAAATTTTGGGTCATTTTATAGGGTTTCAAATTCCTAACTCTGATATTTTTATCTCCAATTTACAATATGCTGATGACACCTTAATTTTCTGTGAGGCGGAGGCTGTCCAAGTGTCAAATATTGCAAGATTCGTGAAAATTTGTGAAGTTACTCTTGGCCTTAAAGTTAATTTTCATAAGTCTTATATAGTTGGTATTAACTGCTCTGAGGAAGTGAAAGTGGAGTTGGCAAACTTGATGGGTTGTAAGGTAGGTTTGTTTCCCCTTACTTATCTTGGTCTTCCCATTTCTGATTTGAAACTTTCTATTGCAGTTTGGGATATTGTGCGTGAAAGAGTTCAAGTCAAATTGGATATTTGGAAACACAAATATTTGTCGTTGGGTGGGAGGGTGATTATGTTGAGATCGTGCTTAACTAATCTTTCGGTTCATCAAATGTCATTGATTAATATGCCTGCTTCGATTGCAAATAAATTAAAAAAATGATGAATGATTTTCTTTGGGGTTCCATTATCGATAAGAGGAAATTTCATTTGCTAAGATGGGATATAGTTTGTACTCCGAAGAAAGAAAGGGGTTTGGGCATAAGAAGGATAATAATGGTTAACTAAGCGCTTATGTGCAAATACTGGTGGCGCAGTTTGCATTTGAAAAATCACATTTGGTTCAAAGTTCTTTTAGCAAAGTATGGGATTGATAGATTAATGATTGGCTTTGAAATGGATTATAAAAAGAGGTGTCTCAGGTTTGGAAGACAATTTATAGTTGTATGCCGATTGTGTCGAGCTACTCTAGATGAAATATAGGCTGTGGTAGCCAAGTTTCTTTTTGGCATCATAAATGGTTGGGGGATTACCCATTGAAATTGGTTTTTCCTGAGTTATATGGGATAGTAACCCAACCTAATCTGAAAGTTAATGAAGCTTTAGAACTAAGGGGTCCTCTTACGTCATGGAATATTTCTCTAGCATATAGTTGTTTGAGCAATGTCCTTTTATCCCAATGGTGTGCTTTAATGGAGCAATTGGATAGAGCCTATATCTCAATGAATGCAGAGGACGAAATTATTTGGGAGATCAAAAGTGATGGGGTGTTCTCTATTAAATCGTGTTACAAACTCCTCTTTAATGATTAGTGGAGATGATCTTATCTTCATATTGCTCAAATTTGAAAATGACCCATTTCGCATAAAGTTTAAGCCTTTATTTGGCTGGCATCATTGAACAAGATATTGACCATTGATAATTTGATCAAAAGGGGAAAAATTTTGCCGAATGTTTGTTTACTATGTAAAGCTGATAGGAAATCTGGTGAACACCTTCTCATTCATTGCTCTTTCACTGTAAGAATTTGGTACTACCTTTTTGGGATCCTTGGGATTAATTTGGTACATCCTCAATCTGTTGAAGGGCTAGTCTCACAATTTTGTATCTTCCATCTGCCCACAATTGGCAAAACTATTTAGAATATATCGAAAGATGTCATTCTACGGGAAGTTTGGAAGGAGAGAAATAAATAGGCCTTTGAGGGTAGTTCCTTGCCTTTTGAGAGACTATTAATTACCATCAAACATTCGATCTGGTCTTGGTTGTCTGTGACAAAAGAGGGATGGGGTAATTCCAATGTTGATGTTATGGCAAATCTCAGTAGTCTTTTTCTTCTCGGGTGTGTTAAAAGTAGACCACGAAGTTTTTGGACTGCACCTTCTAATGAATTCGTGAAGCTCAACTTTGATGGTAGTTCCTCAGGTAACTTGGGTATTGCTGGGATTGGTGGTGTATTGAGAGATTGTTTGGGTAACATTATCTTTTCCTATGCCGGTCCTATAGGGGTTAAAACTGTGAATTTTGCTGAATTAAATGCTCTTTTGAGTGGGGTGAAAATTATGATTGATAGGAATCTTGGTAGAAACTGCTGAATTGAAGGGGACTCTTTGATTGTTATTAAATGGCACAAAAAAGAACAGTAAGTTCCTTGGGAACTTCGTTCCCTTTGGTTGCAGGTCATAAATTTGGTGGAGCCTCTAATCAGTTTCCTTCTCTCATGTTTATTGTGAAGCTAATTCATTGGCTGACTCCATGGCTAAGAGGGGTGCTTCCCTGCCTTCTCTTTGTTATATCCTTTAATGTAATTTCTTTTCCTTAGTCATTAATAACAAGAGCATCATGCATATGTTTTTTTTTGCCATCCACCCATTGATACCGCAATGTTAACCTAGATGCGTTACGCCCATTGATACCACACTATTAATCCGGATGCATTATACCCATTGATACCGCACTATTAATCCGGAAGCTATTTATTTTGGCATCCACCCATCCAAGCAAAAAAAGTAGACTTTTTTAGACCAAAATACCTTTATTTTAAGGGTGAGGTTTGTATAGAGCCGAGGCTCTAAACCATCAAAGTAAAGCATACCTTCAAATAGTATGGAGAAATGTGGTTTCAATACTGGAAATATTTGTGATAGCCTTAAAATGTATTTGAATATTTAATTATAAAATTTATAGCTTAAAAAATAGTGTTGATCGAGCAGATCTATGAAAACTTGAAAATATTGAAAATTGAGAGTCAAAAAATGCATTACAAGATGCACTATTTCCAAAACTTGAAATCCATTTTTTTCTCATGTCCATGCATCTTGATGTCGAGATGATCAATTTGATGATATTTGGACATCAAAACAACTTCTTATAGTAAATTTTTGGAGGTGGAATTTAATTTGATTGTTTAAAGCCTCGGCTCTACATAAACTTTATCCTTATTTTAAACCATGTTTCCCATTTTCTCTCTCTAAGCCCATCCGACACAAAATGTGCAGACCGGCAGAATTTGAATATAGAAGCTACTCTGGCACAAATCATGCCAGACTACCACAATTTTAATATCAGCCTGTCTGAGTATTTTGTGCTGGAGTATTTTGTGTGGACCAACACTTTTTATTAAAACTTAGTCCGCACATTTTGTTGTCAGAAGCTAGTCCGGCACATTTTGTGTTGGACCGGACAAAGCTGGTCAGGCACATTTTTGTGCCAAATCGGGACATGTTTAGCATCACTTTTTGAAAACATTTGTTAAAATGGGGTGTTAACAATCAATTTTTTTGCTTGAAGGGTAGGTGCAAAAATAAATAGTACTACATCAAAAACACAGGGGAAGGCATGTTAAGAAAGTACAAATTGAAGCCTTCTCAGTTTTTGCTCCAACATTCTTAGATTATTCCTTAAAATTGGAACCCTAGCAAAGGAATGTTTCATCTCTCTCCCTACACCTATCTGGTCCAAGAGATCGGCGAAATTTTGTTTTACCGGTCCTAGAAAGAGGAATGGTTAGACATACTATCAATTTGAAGGCAAAGTTAGTCGTCCCGTTTAGACATTGACCCGATAATACGGCCAAATTGGTGTCTTTTTTTATTTTATTATATTATTACTATTATTTAAATCGAATCCCTAAAATTGATTTTTGATATTTGAAAAGCAAAACATAATCTACTAACTCATCAAGAAAGAGAAATGCATGACATCTAGTAACACACGTGCAAGTAATTTGAAACACGTTCATGGCCTGTTCAAACCGGAGTCACTCGATTCAAACCGGAACCGGTCAGGGTCTAAGGAGCCCCTCAGTGGCTCGATTCCCCCAATTTGTCAAATTTATTTTCTTTGGCATATCAGTCTGCATGGGGAATTTCCTGATTCAAACTGGGTGAATCACAATCAATCCCGTAGTGGTCTGATTCTGATTTTTTAAACATTGGTTGAGCCGGAATCGATCTAATCCAACCTTGAAACCTGAAGACTTGATGTCCTCTTGCACCTGAGATCGAAACTCCTTATACGTAAATTTTCGGTAATTAGGACTGGATATAGGGGCTTCATGCTCTGGAAAGCTGAAATAGCATATGGAGATCCTATCAGTGGCGTCATTCACCACCACCCGGTGCTCAATACTCTTGTACTCATCGTTGCTCATGGCTTGCATCATGTCCCCTAAATTCACCACTAAAGTGCCCGAGGGTGGCACCACATCGAGCCATTGGCCATCCTTATGGATTTGGAGGCCACGTGAGTCGTCTAGGCTCAATATGGTGAGCACTGAGCTATCTGTGTGGGCCTCCATGCCCATGAAATGGTCACATGCATCACATGATGGATACCTGTATGCCCTTATGAATGCTTCAGACTCTGCCATGTAATCAGACCTCTTGGCTTCTCTAAGGTGGAGCAGAGGTATGGCCTCGAAGACTTCCCGAGCTATACGGCTCATGTGGTGCCCAAAATCCGCCATCACATTCCTGTTGCCGAATCTCGAGTTAGCTCACTGAATTCGGTCGAGTTTGTTCTAAATTGTGAAAAAAAAAAAGAACTACGAAAATAAAAAAGAATATCACCTAAGACTCAAGAATTGATTCCCTACAATAAACTGGACTATGGATTCAACAAAATCCCTACAGTGAACGGGGAGTCCAATATAGTGAGCTACCTTATTTTTGACAATCCGAGTTAATTTTTCAGTTCAGGACCATCTGATACTAGCGACTCCCCATTTCTGAGGTCATTCAAACGATTCTGAATTGGCTCGTCAAGTTTTTAACTCACAACGATAACGTGTAATTATCAAGGAAAAATGAAAACAAAACCAGCTTCCTTAAGCTTGGCCCCTTTTATTACTAAAAGAAAAGGAAAAAAGAAAAAGAAAAAATGAGCTACCTACCCAAGACTTTGTTTGTTTTTTGTAATGTCAACATCTTGTGTCCTCTTTCTATATTTTAAGAAACACTCTTATATAATATTCTCTATTCTAAGACACCAACCCATAATGGCCATAAAAATACATAGAGCGGCACGTGTGAGAAGTCAGTGTAGTACCTGAAGGAGTTGAAAGGGTCAAGTTGAAGAAGCATGTGATCCTGGTTTTCATGTCCTCTGAGAGGGATATGAAATCCCTCCATCCAATTCACATTCCTCAATTTATTTTCCCATGAAGGGGAGCCCCACAAATACCGAAGGGGCAATGCACTGTTTGCCTGTTTAGCCTCAAAAGGCAGTGAAAACATCTGCTTAACTTCAGCCATGGCTTCTTCAGATAAAGTGAGAGGAACACCATGGTTAACCAGGAGAAAGAATCCCCAATCCCGACATGCTTGCGAGAGCTTATGTGTGTAACTTGGATCCTTCCGCAAGCACTCGAGGTCTATGAGAGGTAGTTCAGCTATTGAGCATGGCTTGAGGGAGGCGGCCGAGCAGGGCTCGAGCATGACGCTTGAGCCAGACTCGAGCCCGATGGTGGTTCGGAGCTGTGGGTGGGGAAAGGGAGGGTAAGAGAGGTCAAGGGGCTTAGACATCTTGGGGCACTTCCCTTCTGCAGGTTCTCATTGTGAAGTGATGGGATTTGTTTCTTATATATTGCTTCATGACGTGGTTATGAAGTAGTCCAAGCCTAAAATTCAGCCATAAAAAAGGAAATGAAGAAATATGAGAGAGAGTATAAAAAACAAAACATCATGGAGAGAGAAAGCTTCAAGAAAAATCTCAGGAACTTTCAAGAAACATCATTAGGCATCACCTAGACTGAGAGCAATCAGCAATAGAGTAGCTTTAGTCTTTTAGCGATTAGGTGAATTTTTTTTAACTTCAGATACTTTCTAACAAAATTCAGATTTTATAGGCAGACATTGTGCATTTTGTAGTTTTATGTAAAGGTGTTAAGGGACCGGGCCGGCCCGTGTGCTTGCATATTAGGCCAGTGTTGGGCTGGGTTTGGATGGGGCTTTAGTTGGCCCGATGTATTTTTGGCGCATACTAGGCTCTAAATTTTGCATAAGATTTTCAAACGAAAATTTTCCGGCATTTAATAAAGGCCCGACTCGATTATTCGAGTTTGGTCCTGGCAGACCTCTCGGTCCAGCCCGAACTTGGCTCGTAAACACCCCGACTTTTATAATGTGCATGTGTGGTTTGTATGTATGATTTTTGTTTTTGTGCGCCTATATTATGCTCTTGCTGGAGCATAAAATACACCTACTCCCTCAGATAGATGATGTGCTTGGGAGCTGTTTTTCAATCTGGAATTTTGGGATGGAACCACGTAAGAATCAATAGATGATTGTGTTTGAAAGAGAAAATTTGAATTTTAAGTTTTTTAGCACATATATCTTTCACCGTCCGAGAATCAGACGATTTCATGCTCCCGTCGGACCATGAATCTTTTAGCTCTTTATTATTACATGTATGGACTAGTTAGTCTGGGGTCAATTTATCGGTCTAGGGTTAGGAATCTTTAGGAGCAGGCTACTACTACACTAGGAGGGGAAAAAACAAAAATTTAGAAGAGACTGCACCAGCCGGGAATCGAACCCGGGTCTGTACCGTGGCAGGGTACTATTCTACCACTAGACCACTGGTGCACATGTTGATACCTTTTTCTTTGTCAAATAGTTTACACATAATCATAACACTGGTTCACCAATTATTTAAAATTAGATGAAAAACGACATGGGGTATTTGTTTGTTTCAAGGTTTAAAAACAAGGATGGTGACATGGATCACCTCTCTAGAAAACTGGTCTAGAGTGATCCGCCCAATAAAAAATTAATAAAAATTAGAGAATAAATAAAAAAATATATTAAACAATAAAGTGGGATTGGTTCCTGATATTCTAGCAGAACTGGCTGATTCAAAAAACTAGTTGGTTCTCGATATTTTAGCAAAATCGAATTAGACCCACTGATTCCCAATCCGAACAGGCTAGCTCTGGTCTAATTAGATAATTTTTTGAACCTTGGACTTTGTTGGATTTTGCTAATACGGGTAAGGCCATTTCTCTTTATTCCTTATAACTGAATGCTCCTCCACCTATTGAAATAAAGAGAAAAAAAGAAAATAAGGATCATAATTTTGTGATCCCCATGGGTGACAACTACAGTGTCACCCCAAATACAGTGTCACCCTTGGGTGGTTGGTGGTCAGATCCACAATCGAACATCCAACCAATTCGACTACATCCATTGCCCAAAAACATAGGCTTAGATATTGATTTTCTCTTTAAGATGTTGTTTTTTACATTACATTTTTTGAATGAATGGTTTAGATGACTTTTGAGGTGGTGACCTCTTACAGTGTCACCCACTGGGTAATGAAATCCTTAGAACAAAAAGAAAAACTAGAAAGGACCTTATTTCTAAATAACCTATTTTTCTTTCGAAAAGTAGATTTTTTTTTTTTTAATAAATCAGTAGCTGAGACTCAAGTGGTACTACCACCGTGACCTTATCCTCACTCCTGGAACATGAAAGGTGCTCTAGAGATAAAGTCATGTCACATAGCAATGTCCTTAAAATCTACGACCAAGAACCTCATACTATTTATAACGACAACTCCATAGCAATGCTCTTTCTTAGGCATCCTCATAAATTTTGGGAATTCGAAATTTCATTGCTCGTTGGGAATATACATGGGTTGATCTTGACTAGAAATAGCACATTCTTTGTTTTTCAAGGCATTTATGAGAAGACATTGAACCTTTGAAGTTAAAAAACCAAATGTCTTAGAAACTTTGGACAAAGCCTAGTCGTCTAGTTCACATAAGAGCTTCTATATAGTGTGCTTGTTCCCTCCAGTTTTGGAGTATTTTTTTAATCTAAAATTTTGGGATTCACTTTAATATATCAACTTTTTTATTCTAAAAGTAAAAAAATTAAAATTTAAGTTTCTAAACAATTATATCTGACTATCCATAATTTGGGCGGTTCTATTCAATTTTAAGACATTATTTTCTTCAGGCACGTACACAATGAATATGTTGTTTGATTGATTAGGTTTCCTGGAACCTGAAATTCTAAATATACTCCTAAATAGGGTTTTTCCCGAGGTAACAGACAATTTTATGACTTTATGTAAAATATTTTTACGAGGGTTCTTGTTTTCAAGGCTCCCAAATGGAACCATCATACTTATGCATTTTGTTGTTATCAGGGCCAGTCCATTAAGGCCTATTTGGTTCCTCGGGAATGGGTCTTTGAGATACCCATTTTCTGATACCAGGCATTTTTGCAGTTGGGATGCGGTTTAGAGATGGGAGTTCAGTCTCATAGAAATCTGTGTCCATGTTTAGAGGCCAAAATGGTGGAAATGTGCATTCCACCAAAAAAAGGTGGAATACAAGTAGAAAATGATAATATAATAATTAGTATATTAATATAATAATTATAATAATTGATTGGGATTGCATACATCGAGACCACTTATTTTTGATACAAGATGATCACAATTATTTATATCTATCTGATGTGAAGTTTGATAGCTTGGATATATCACAAAGTTCACGAAAATTTCTTTTGAAATTTGAACTTGATCAATGGAATAATTGCATCTACCCGATCTCACATCTAATGATCAAGATTCATGTGACCACCTTGTACCAAAAGTAAATGATCTCATTCTATACTTTCCCATGATATATCATAATTAATGTATTAATAATATACAATATATATATATATATATATATATATATATATATTACAACAAAAAAATATCATGCTATAATATTATATTATTATTATTATTATTATAATACAATAATAGTAGTACAATCTGGACACGCATCTTTCAAAACTCTTATAAAATGCTATCCAAACAGCAAGCACCCATAATCTACAATATGTCAATTCTAGGAGATACTAATTTCAAGAGAGGCATTTCCCTAACACACCCATTCCCGGGGAACCAAATGGGAACTTAATTGTATCTAGTACACGAATATAGTTATCATGATCAGCACACAGGTGGTTTTACCCTCCACTTGCTTAAGAGTGAAAATTGAAAAGCGCCCCCAGCTAGGGATGTACAACTCGAGTCAACCCGTTGGGTTGGTGGGTCAACCTAAACTGGGTCCGGTCCATGTCTGTGTCTAGGTGTTGGACTTGGTGGGTTGGGTCCAAGTCCACCAAGTCCAACTAACTGGACTCAACCTACGTCGGGTTTGGCTTGGACCCTATTGGGTCAAGTTCGGGTTCAAGTCTAGGTTGGGGTTGACGGGACCTGATATACAGAAGTAAAATATTATAAAATTATATAAAATATGCAAAATGCATATTATAAGATACATATGTGTATATTAGATCTGGACCCGACGTGACCCTACTCAGCCCGCTGTGTCAGGGTCGGGGTCCATGTTATATCTAGTCGATCCGGAGCCAACCCTATCCCCCACCTTTGTAACTTCCATGATATCATGTCACTTAAAATTGTCTAAGGAATGTATTTGCCATGATATTCTCATTTGGTTAACTTTTGTAATCTCCCTTTTATAAATTGTAATCTTCAAATAGCTTCAAGAATGTCCCTAACCTGCAAAAAACAGGAACTTCTATACTCCCTTTATAAATTGTAATCTCCAAACCTTCAAAAACCAGGAAATTGTAATCTTCCTAACAGGAATTTGTCATCTTCCTTTAATGACTCCCTTTGTCCGGTTCATTCAGTTGTCTAATCAAAATCTGTAATATAATTTTCAAAGAAAATTATTTGCCATAGGATCCTCGTTTGTTCTCCGGGGGACCGATGCAACAGTGACATTAATGGAATGAAATCTGCAGGTTTATTTCTTTTGAATGTCAATGAAATCAGCAGTTTTGTTTTGAGAAGAGACAAAGGATATCAGGCCAGAAGAATGTGAATCATGGAGCCCCCCGGTAGTTCAGCAGTAAGAATCAAACTTGATGTGTAATGCGGCTAAATGTCAGCAGCTAACCACTCAAGGCCAACATATACATAGTGTCGGTGTAGAGAGTGCATTTTCATGTAGAGAGAGAATATATAAGTGCTCTATGTGAAATGTAGCGAGAGAATGATCCAATTCAGCCAATTATTTGATCTTTGGCCTGTCTACCCTTTTATGGCATCTTCTCTCATTGGTTTTACTGTTTTCTATGAATCAATCATTCTTCTCTCTCATCATTTTTATTGTTTTTGATGAATCAATCATTGCGCCATTCATTGGGATCGACTTTTAAAGGAAAGGGACCTTTTATTTAAGTACCAGGTAAAATTACCGAATTTACCATTTGGTTTATAAGTTTAGTAATTTTACTGTGAGGTCTTACTCTCTTGATTTTTATTTTCTGAGCTTGTCCCAGATGTTTCAAATGTCAAATTGCTTCTTTTTTTTTTTTATATTGAGGAGGTATTTCAATGTCTAAAATATGGAACTTCTCCATTTGTAAGGCAGTTCAATAATTGCAATATTGGATCGCCCTGTATTTTTGGCCCGTACTGCATTATACAATACAGCCAATTTTCATACTTTAATATTTTATCACTCTGAGCTTTCAAATATTTGACCATATATACTTT